GTGCAGCCAATGACAGAACAGTTAGCATGTTTTGCTCAAACTTTCGCCATGGCGTTAGTACTGGTACACCGTTGTCGCTTGCAAAATCAAAATGACGGCGCCGTGGGTGGAAACTTACAGATTAAGGGGCGGTAATATTATAATGAGATCCCTTTGCCACGTCACCAAGGGAGCTAAATCAGACACGCTCTTTTTGCAGACGCTTGCAGAAAAAGGCTTACCAAAACAAAGTTACTGGGTTAATCTTTTTCACGTTTTCTTGGTTGGTAGATGCACCGGGGACCTGATTATAGCACTTAAAACCTGGAAAAGTCAGATTTTCATTATGTCACCTTTAACAGCAAAATTGACAATTCTTGATTTTTGTTTAATGGAATACTGCAACGACATCTTTTCCCTGATGAAGCATACATTAGTGCGAGGGCTGGGCAGTTAAGTTGTCCAATAGACCAATTTCAGTGTTTGCAAACAGCGATTACATTTTTGTGGGCGGAGCCTATCTGGTGGCAGAAAATGACAGTTTTAAAGTAGCAGTCTATGGAAGCCATGGAATAAAAGAATTAAAAAAAGGTAATTTTGAGTTTATATTAAAAAATTCTGACTCACAATTCCGAGATTATATCTCTCAATTCTGATAAGAAAAATCAACTCGTCATTCTCTCTCTTCCCCTTGGCAATCAATCATGAGTTTATATCCCACACTTCTGGCTTTTTTTCCTCAGAATTGACAAACCCGCAATTGAGTTAAATCGATTTATAAAGTCTGAACTAGGAGATGAAAACTTGCATTTGCAAGAAAGAAAAAAAAAGTCAGAATTGTGAGATGAAATAGGTAAATGTTGTAGGTATAAATAGTATTTCATGATGTTACTGTAGTAGGGCTAATAAAATATGTCCCCTATGAACTGCACATGTGAATATTATGTTGACCCATTGTTTAAATCAAATGTATGCTAGGGTAATCAAAGCAGGTTCCATCCATAGTTTGTCCATTTAAACATCTGCGTTTAGCTTCATGGAGTCTTTGACGACAGTATTCTATAAAAATGATTTGCATTCCAATTCTGATATCCAATGGAACAACAATAAATTTTTTCTCTTATTCCATGGATTTTAACCATTTCCCTCCACTTGTTACCAATGTTTTTCTGCGACTACAATAGGGCTGCACGATAAATCGAAATGGAATCGAGATCGCGATTCGACAGAAGCTG